TTCATTTTAAAATGTGTGAACTGAACTTTGAACTAGTTCACGTAGAAAGAGAACTTTCCCAACACTGGTACTTGCCATATGTTGACATGTGTCAGCGTGTTTCACCGCACTCATAACATACAAAACGTACCCATAACTTATTAAACGTATGCCAGCGTTTTTGCCACATTTTCTCGTGCATCAGGCATAAGCTGGTCTAACTTGTGAAGGTTTAAAAGGGGCTTTAGTAAAATCATTGTTACAGCTCTCATTCATTTTATTTTATTTTCATGTATAATGCGTTTAAAATGTGCACGGTTTGATTTTAAGTTGTCAAATCACTAAGAGTATCTCTGCTAGTTTTATTACTTAAATAATTGACAGCTAAAATCTCTGACATCTTAGGTGTTTCTAGATGGTTTCTACATTTAAAGAGACAGAACAGGAACATAGACTTAAAGTGACAGACCCTGAACATCCATATGTCTCTCTGGAAGTGTGAAAGCTCACCTGTATCTTTGGTAGTCTCCATGTCTGAGGCCATGCTGCTGCTGGGACTCCTTGATGATTTGCAAAACTGTGATTCACTGTTAAGGGTTAGCTTTTTTCCCCCTCCATCAGTACACATTTATGAACCCATATAGAGGCTGATCCATGTCTGAATACATGTGCAACGTTGGCACTAAATCAGGGGTCTCAAAATCTAGTGGAAGGTCGATTTCCTGCTACTTTTAACACAATAATTACATCATTAGCAGACTTGGCTGAACGCTGAGGAGTTAATTCAACCATTTGATTCAAGCTTGAAGAACATCTAAAAGTTGCAGGACATCGGCCCATCATGACAGGAGTTTTACACCCTGCTTTAGATGAATGAACCAAGAAAGTCAGCCTGGAAACCTAACTCTTTAAATAATGTTAGTTTTCCGTCTACGTTTCGCTTTAAACGTAAATTGTATGTCTGTCGCTAATTAAATTAAGGTTCAGCGATGTCAAAGCAATGTTTAAACAAAACGAGATTCAATGCCTATGACGGACAGACAAATGACACGTAGCCTAACCAAGCTAACCATTTCTAGTACGTTACCTAGCAGCTAATGCTAGCAGCTAATGCTAGCTGCGGAGCCACGGCTCCGCTAAGTGAGAATTAACTCGCCTTAGAGCAACGTCGTCACGTGAAGGATACTTTCGAGACCCAGACCTCCTTCATGTAGATTTTCTTTATTTTCTTCTGTGAGAGAAGGTTTAGCTTCGCTCTGCTTGTCCGCGGCCATCTCTGCGAAGCTACCAGCTAACCTCAATCAAACACACACGCTCAGAAAGCAGCAAATCAGCCCGGAGGGAGGCTGGAATGGGTTAACATCGCGAGATATTACGAGATCCACGTTCTTGTTTGTGATTGACTGACGTTTGGTCTACATCTTGAAGGTGCATTAGCGCCACCTATTGGTATGGATTGTAGAACAAAATGGCTTTATTCTAGCTAATGTATTTATTTACATGATATACTTTGATACAAAATATTATAAGCAAATGATATTATATATCTATCTAATATGAATTTTATTCCACAAACAATGCCCTAACATTTAAGTTTCATTCTTGAATAAATACAGCACACCCACCTACCATCCCTTATCATTCCTAGTTTATTTTCTAATCTATAAATATATCAAATATACAATATTTGAATAGTAATCTTAATCTAAACTACGGCATTTAGTTTTTGTCACCAATAGACTGCATTAAAGCCAGACTTCTAAATATATTTTAATTGGTAGAAATATGAAGATTTTTTATCCAACCCTACAGTGATCCTTTGCTTGGTGTTGGACCAGACCAAAAAATACAGATTAAATACACTAAGGTTTGAAGCTGTAGTGAAACATGTGGAATTGTAAAAGGGGGGTGGGAATACTTTTGCAAAGCAATAAACTTCATAAACTGTAAAAATAGTTTGACAGTCATTTTTATTAAACGATCAATAAAATTAGCCAGGTAATAAATTATCATGCTTAAAAACCCATTTAAAAAAGGAAAATAAGCTGATAATTTAGTTAACTGAAGGTTTTATTGCTATAAAACAATAACCACCATATCTTTAATGAATGAATGGGTAAAAGCCATATTCTTTCATGTAACCTTGTTAATGTAACGTAATTTTCTCCCAAGGGAATTAACTGTTCATTGTGTTTTTTGTGTTTAGTCATCTGTTCAATAATATTCTAGTAGTTACAGGTCAACCATCATGAAAAGTTGGCATATTTTTCAGTCATCTTACTGGTAAACTCTGTTCTGTAATAATTCCCTGTTAAGGTTGGATTGTGTTGATTTAAAAAAAGGATAAATTGTCTCGATTTTTAATCAAATAAACCTAAATTGAAGGTTTTCCGGCCCAAATTAGATCCCACACAGGAAAAAAATGTGTAATATATTAAAAACTAAGCTCAGACTTCGAACACACTTTCCTACCTTTACCAGTGAATCCAAAACGGTGAAACATAAATTCCCAAACTCCCAACATCTCCTAATTGGGTTACAGAAGGTTTATTTGTGTGACTCAATGCTGTAGGCAGAGAAAAGTCCTTTATGATCCAGATATTTTTTTTTCTTTTCAGAGTTTGTCTGCAGCAGTAATATATTTGGAGAGAAAGTGTCTGATTTCTGAAATGTGCATCGTCTCTCTGATGGTTGTGTCTCTGCTGCGGACCTGCAGGAGGCCGCTCTCCAGGGTGTTTTCATTGATTACCACAGAGAAGAGAACTCCCATCTCGTCATATCTGGAATGCAATGACAGGGAAAAAAAGGGTATGGAGAATCAACAATTAACTCTTTGATGAAACTGTTTAGAAATAACTGCTATGGTGCGTTCAAACGAAAACGCGCTTTGAGCGTCAGGACGTCTGGTTTAAAACATGTAAAGTCTGCAGGAGGCGGCGTCGAGGAGCTGCGAGAGGTCTTGTGACATAAGTGATCCTTGCAATGTTTCCAGCATTAAGAGCAACGCATTTTGAGCATTCAAGCATCCATTTAGTGGCAGACACCAGAGGTAAGACATCTGAACAGTGGCAGCTGGACGCTGAGCGTCTACCAATCAGAGAGGCCTGGGAGACAGACCAGGAATGCAAGCTGTGATTTCTTCTTCTGCAGAAAACTATGAAAGGTAAATATATGTAAATGTTGAAATAAATGTATATAATGTTATCTCATATTTACTCCTTTTCTAAAACCTATTTGTTTCCCAACAGCCTGATATTTCTGTGTGGAGTTGTGCTGCAGAACCTGAGATGGAGGGATTTTGGATAACACTTGCTAGAATATATGAAATATAGATGCTTAATGTATCCCTTTAATGTCCAAAATGGGGAAATTCACTCTCTGCCATTGTGCGGCGCCCGGGTAGCAGTGTGGGGTTAAGGGTCTTGCTCAGAGACCCAGAGTGCTGGCTGTGGGGATTGAACAGGGTACCTGCAACCTTCTCAGAGCACAAGCGCACTCACCTGACTCCGCCAGATGGATTTGCTCCGCATATCCATCTGGAAACCTTCCGTTGAAGTAATTTTGGGAAGGGGCTAAAATACTGGTTAGCTGATTGGCCTATGTTGGTGATAGACGGGCCAAATAAACCAATCAGATCAACGAAGCATATGACGTACTAACAGAGCGACAACGAAGAGGAGCCAATTGATAGATCAAACTCTTACTGAAACCAGTCGGGAGAAGAGCAAAAACATCTTTTCCTCTGAGAAAAGCCTCCAGAGCAGTGTTTTGCTCTTCTTTCAGTGAAGAAATACTCTGTAATTCCGATAAAACTTGCTCGATAGCCACGCTAACGCTAGTTTCATCGGCTGAAGCCGCCATGTTCTTTAGACTGAACTGTCGCGCTTCTCGTTGCGTCACACCTCAACCCGCCTCAAAGCCAACGCTGATTGGACGTTCGTTTGGTGAACGGCTCCAAATTTTCTTCAACGGAGAGTCTCCAGACTGATTAGCGAGTGAAACCTTGAAAGCTCGCGAGATCAGGATGGTCTCAAGAGGCTACAAGCGCACTGCTCTGCCCACTAGGCCAACACTCCCACACTTCCCTCCCCTTTAAAGAAGCACAAGTTCTGTAATTGCCATCTCTTGGCCAGGTCTCCTGGTACTTCCTGGTAAAATAAAGGTTAAATAAAAATAAATAAAATTAGAGACCTCCTTTAATTGAAATAAAAAGAGAGTTTACTAAACACATCTCTCTCTGTTCTCATCGTGAGTAACAGAATCTTATGCTACATTCAGAACGCAAACGCTGGAAGCAGCAAAAAAGCTTCTGCTTCTTCCTTATCGATGCTTGTTCACCTTAAAGCCGGGCATACACTGTATGATTCTTTTTTGCCCTTTTCGGGCCGATTCTCCAGCTGTGAGAGAATTTTTCGATCAGGCCGACTGTGTGGTGTAGTATACAGGGGGTAACGAGGGGTGATCAGCTTCTCACGACCCCCTCCCCATCAGGAATCGTAAAGTCGGGAGAAAATCAAACATGTCTGGAATTCAGTCGGCCGCCATAAGGTGGGAAAATCCCTCAGTGGGCAAACAAGGATTCTTCTTCTTCTTCCTCTCAGATGAAAACCCAGCAGCATGGCGGGGGTGCAATGAGTGAAATGGAGTTCTTTCTGTCAAATTGACAGACCATAGTAGGCACGTTTGTTCCGCCATCTCTTTGTCCAAATACATTGTCTCCTTTTCTTTTTAGGGCTTTCAGCACAAAATCGCACAAATATCCAAGTCTAGAAGTGAGAAAGTCCTCCTGAAAACTTCATCTGTGCAGTCAGTTCATCTAGATTGCCATCCTGCCTTCAAATATTTTTTTCTCTGTCGGAGCCGCTCAGACCCCCAGACGGCGACGCGCTGTCACTGGGAATCCTCTTCAACAGCAGCCTCTGGCCCGGTTCGTGGCGGCTGGAAGGCGTTTTTCATGTACGTAATCCAAACTGCAGGCATCAGAATAATAAAATTGAACATAATTTCCCGGCAGGTTTCTACATTTTAAGTGAATTTAGGCGTTAATAAACCGTTTCAGAGGAGTGATCATAGCGCTCTGCATCATCAGTGCTGTGTCTGACTCCCTGACAGCTCCCAGATCAGCTTCTCTGATTGGTTGATGTGGCGCGTCCAGCAGCAAAAGCTCAATTTTTTCAACTCCAGCAGCTGCTGCTTCTGAAGCGCGTTGCATGCATCAGATGCTCAGAAGCTCATGGGCGCTTTCTGCTGCTCAAAACGCGCAGCGGAACCTTTTGCTGCGTCTTTATGCGCGTCCAACATTGACTTTGCATTTATAAAAGCTGCTTCAGCTGTGTGCGGTCTGAACGTAGCCTAATGCTCTCATCTTTCCTTCCTTGTATGTTAATAAATATTTTAGGTGCTTGAAGCTGACAGTACATAAATAAAGGGGTTAAACTTAACTTGCTTTCCAAAAAAAGCCAGGAGCTTTGATCATTATTACGACAACATATTGTCTTACTGAACTCTGTGAAACAGTTTATAAGGCCTACATTGGCTAAAAATGTAAAATCTTGCCAAAGAATAATTGAAAATTCACTGCCAGCTTCTACGAGCGGCAGCAGGAAATGGCCGACATCTTGTTCCGCTTTGGAAAGCTTTCACTGGGGAGTCCCAGTGTGGCTCGCCGCTATGTGAGGGTGGGTCTGCTGCTCTGAACAAGTACAGAATATTTCAGCAGGATCACTTAAAAATGTTAAAACTACTTTTTTCCAACTCAAAGAGAAAAAATTAAACCTCCTAACTGCATGGAGCAGAGCAGCTCAACGCCAAAGGAGCGTCGAGGATCCTGACTTCAAACGCACAAACAACCAATCTGAGAGTTTGGACGCCTTGTTGATGCTCCAAACGCGCCTGTTTTGAACGCACCATAAGACTTAAGACTCTTACTTTGCATTCAGATGCTCTAATGATGATGGCAGAGTTTCAAGATACCCAGGCCAAGCAGAGATCTTAGCTTCCAGGAACTCCTGCAGGAGGCCCTCGCAGACCTGCAATCAAACCTTCAATCAACACAAGCTCTTCTTTTTTAGCTCGTTTCTGAGTCGGCGATCAAGTTCAAAGATGAAAGCCTCACTGACTGTAACCTGCAGTAGATCCTGACCTGTCTAAGTTCCACCGTGGCTCCCTTCCCAATGTCTAAAGCCACCTTGACAGGAGCCAACACTGGATGCAGCTTCAGAACCTTAAACAGGAAACCAGAAGGCAGTCAGTCACTGAAAACAGAGGCTGCAGGAATGAGACGAGAGGCTGAGCAGCTTCACCTTCCTCTGCTGCAGCCTCTTTTTGCTGTCCTCTCTTCTGAGCTGCTGGAGGGAGTTGGATAGGAAGGCCAAGACGCCGCGGTCAATGTTTCCGCTCACAGACACGACGTGGGGGACGGACTTCCGGCCATCTCGACTCTGGAGCACAGGTAGTTAGGAAGGAAACCAGATTATGTTACGTTTGAATAAACAGGAGAAGAAGAAAAAAGTTAAAGAACTTTTAATCCAAAGGATTCTTTATTTATTTTGTTCAACTCTTTTTCTTCTGAGTGAACTTGGGCTCTCGATTAGAACATTAAAACATGCAAAAGTTATTCACTTTAATTCAATTAAGTTTATTTATTTGCAGCAATTAAGTTGATTCCTTCCCGCTATGATTGGAGCTCCAATCTCTTTACAGGGGAACAGATACTTCGCCTATTCAGCCAGGCCAATACCCTTAATGACCCCCCTTTCAGAGACATAGACAGGTATGGGGCATTGCAG